GTACTGAAATACGTACCTCCTAAAAAAAAACGTTTCATTTGTAAGTATCTGAAATTTTTTTGTCTACAGAATGGATTTTTAAAGATATTTGTAATTGAAAGATTTATTTAACATGATCTCGGTTAAAGAAATTTCTGAAGCAGTTTATTTTTTATTATTCAAAAAAAAAAATTTCAGCTGGCTACTAACACAGTTGTTCTTTTTGAGGAAAAGAATCGCTCTTCACTATTTCAGGGCTTATGAATTTCAACGCTTACGGAAGTCTCAAATATTTCTATGTATTGGGAAGAGGGGAGTCTACGGCCGGACAAACCGAACCCCTGTCCGGGGCGGCATTTGGATCGAATTTGAAGAATCTCCCCCTCTCTTTGTGTTGTTGCAAAAAATTTTATATATTTTCTGAAATATTATTGGATGTGTGAATTTGGCTTTATTTAATGTATTTTGCTTCCTTATTTTGTGCTCTGTATATGTAATGTCATTTCTTCCCTCCTGATGTCACCAAGAGCATTCCTTTCACCCATACGACGTCCCGTATCAGTTATCCAAAAGGGCAATAAGAGTTTTTTTTTCTTTGTCACAGGAAATGTTTTATTTTCGTCTTGATACCATAAATTAAAATAAACGTTTCAGAAACCATTTGCATGGTGAAATGGGCTATTCCTTCTGTTACATTTGACTCGTTTGAAATAATAATAGTCCTTAACTTCGAATTATTTTGCATTTGACTCAAAATAATATATATAATATTGTTGTATGAGTTGCCTTTTGTTCGAAAGAATTATTCAAGTTTTATAGGTGTGTATGTATGTCAACTATTTATCTTTTTTAATTATAATTTTTTGTTTTAGAGAAGGGGCGGCATTTTCCCTTTTTGTCTGGGGCGGCAAAACTGCTAGAGACGGCCCTGTATGTATATTGCACATCCGCGATTATTGTATTAATCTTTTAATTAATATACACTCTATAACTAAAAAAAAACGATGCACCAAGACGAGTTGTCCGATAGAGACAGAAATTGGTGGTTAGAAAGATTACGTGCAGAATAAAAAATGATTAAAATTTCAGAAAAATTGAAAGATTTTTTTCAGAGCTGCATAGTTTCAAAGTAAGGAGCACAATAAGGAGTTGACCCACATCTAGCCTGGATGCAAGCTACCACACAACGTGACATAGAGTGATAAAGCATCCTGATGGTCTCCTGTGGTATTTCAGGGCTGCGGTAGCCCAGTGGTCAAGGAATCCGATCATGGCAGGCATGTCACGAGTTCGAGCCCAGTACCACTAAAGACCCGCCGTGTAGGGCTGCGATGCACGTTAAATCTGTCGAGAGCTGAAACGTCCTCCCATTGGTGTGGTGTGGCGGTTAGGAGTTTGAGTTTGGAGTTTTATGGCGCAAGAGCCGAATTCGGCCATACTGGGCCAAACATTTGTTTAAAAAACCATTCTAAATATATATATATATATATATATATACATGAACACAATACAAATTACATATAAATAAAAATTATATATGTGCATGCTTGCATGCACATATATAAAAATGAAAGTTAAAGTTAAAATATTTTAAAAAGTCAAATCAAATGTAAAAATCCAATTTTAAAAAGGAAGACAAATAGATTTTGCTGGGGGAGATTCCCCCACCAAGTCAGATAAGGTTAAAACCTTATCTGACTTGGTGGGGGAATTGGTGGTAGTTAGGAGAGAGAGTACCAGCTCAGGTATCGTCCACGTCACTTGACCATGGCTCAAAATTACGTGGTCCGTCGCCAAAAGACCGAAGTAGCTGAATAGTTCGACGTTAATATTCACTCACTCACTCTACGGTATTTATTGCCAAATTTGCTCCAATTGTCGGGCCAGGTCATCAACATTCCCTAGTAGATGAAGTCGCCATCCCATGATATCATAGACATGCTCGATTGGAGAGGGATGTGGCAATCTGTCTGCCCAAGGAAATGTTTGAAAATCATTCAAGGGATGTTTTTTCTTTATATGCTGAAAATTTGCATAGGTAATGCTCAAGAAAAAGAATAATTAAAAAAACAAGCATGATAATCTACAGGGGTGTAGCTACCACCGTATCAATGATACGGGGACCCTAACTTGTGTAACTACAGTCCCACTAACAGGGTTCTTCATATCTAAAATATGAGGCCCGAAGGAATTTGCATACATGGCCCACTCAGAGCGCCAGTGATAATCTAGTAAAGATATAAAATATCTAGCAATTTCTCGATGTAATAGCTTACATAAGGGTGGGTTTGGAAGTTCAAACCACACAACTCTATACATCCAATTTTAATTTTTAGCATACAGATTATGCCTCGAAGCCTTCGTTTACGTTCCCCCCTCTTAATGTGTCTGTAACATTAACTGTCGAAGGCTTTATTTAAAAAAAAAAACTCCCAGCCTTATGATTTTTTTTTTTTCTTCTGCCTTTGAATGAAGCGAACGCGAAGAAAAGCTGTGTCAATCTGTCGATTGCAACGCAAAGGAAGGATTGGCAAGTGAAAGCATCGGAAGGCTGTGACGTCAGGTCACGCCACCGATAGAAAGCGGGTGATTCCATTCAAGGTCAAGCACCTGGTTGGCAAATGACAGTCGCGCTAGATCCTAATTCTGAAGTAAACACTGGGTTTCCCCGAGAAAAAACCAGATTTTATTAATTATAGGTAGTCTTTGGATTCTCGTGTCATTTAATTACAAGGATTCACTCTTCGAATTTAAAATAAACTAATTGCAGCAGACCACACAGTAGTACACGAGGTGCAATAAAAAGGGCGGCGAATAACGCACACTTTTAATCCAAAAAATAAGTAATATGAAACAAATCAAGTCAATTCCTACTTAGGTTAACAAAGAATTTTTTTTAGTTACTTTTTATTAAATAGTTACAATTAATATAAATATGTATACACATAGGACAAAATAGAAAGCGATTTTTCTTGCAATTTTTATGTTTTCCTTTCTATATATGCTGTTGGACCATTATTTTTGTTTGTTATTAATTATTCATTAATTAATGAATTAATATTTGTAAAAAACTGTATACCATCTAGTGTCATCCTCTACAAGTTCAAAAGAATAGATTTGAACTTGAATGGATGAATAGAAAGTATTTTATTAACGATTGAAAATTTGAATATATATATATATATATATATAGGGAGAGATTGTGAACTTAGTAGGAATTCAATAAGATCGAAATTTACGGTACCGGGTATAAAAATGTGAGCTTTAAAAATAAAAATAAATAAAAAAGATGAGCATAAAAAAGCAGACTTCTGCATATCTCGAAATCAGTGGCGTAAGGGCTTGAGGAGGCTATGCCTCCAGCTCAGGGGAGGGGGCACCAAAAAGCCGAATTTGCGATAATTCTTCCAAATTTAAGATTTCAATATAAAAGGTTGCAACATAATTCGAATCATGACACTTGAGTTGAAAGTAATTTTGAATTCCCCTCAATTCTTTCCGTTGTTTCTGTTTAGTGTTACGAACTTTACTTTTTCAAAAGTTTATATTATTTTCAATTTTTGTTTCATTTTTCTATAAACTGTTATTTGAAAGTTTCTTTAAAAAATCTTACCATACTTATTATTACATTATAAAAACTACACAAGAGGCAATTCCTTCCTTTTGTTACATTCCATTTTTAATAATAGGATTTATAGTAAGCTAGTTTCCCTTGTTTCAATGAGTCTGCGGTAGCCTAGTGGTTAAGGTAACGGACTCGTGGCTGGCGTATCATGAGTTCGAGTCCAATACCACTGAAGACCCGCCGTGTAGGGGAATGATGCACGTTAAATCTGTCTTGATATCAAACATCCTCCCATGGGTGTGGTGTGTAAGTTCGGAGATTTGGTCTCTTCCTCGTCACTTGACCCTGGTTCAAAATCACGAGGTCTGTCAGTAAAAGCCCTCGTGTTGCTGAACAGGGCGACGTTAATATTCACTCACTATCCCTGTTTCGCAATCTTCTCGTATCTGCAGTGCATCCCCTTTTCTGCAGCTTAAAGGTGATTGGTTGAATAGTTTTGGAAAGCTTTTGTGATTTGCAAATGGGGGAGGGGGGTTCTCTCCATATATGGGCAGGATTTCTTAATGGAAGTTTGCGACCCTAGAGGTCTTTCTGTGTTGGACTCTGAACAAGAAAAAACTACATTTTCCCAGAGAACAACTCGCAATATAAGACCTTTCAACTGTCAAGATATTTTTAATACTTTCATAATTGACTCGAATATTGTAATTTTAACGTTCATGGTTTGTAAAACTATTCCTTCGTTTGTGTTAAAGATGAATTATTGTCTGTTTTCAATTCAATGATTCATATTCTAGTCCTAATGTAGTCGGCAACATATTTTGGTCTTATGTTGTACAGAAGTCTACTCCGTCAAATCGAAACAATCCAGTTCATTTCTTTCATGTGGGAAGTTAAATTGTTCGGCGTATTAATTTCCAGAGTTGATGGGATGAAATCCAATGTTGTCTATTTCTGAGTGTGCTGTGAGTGTTTTCTTTAAGATTGGCTGCCTTACGTTATCCGGAAGCCTCGAGAATCTCTCTCTACTTTCGACCTCTTCTCTTTGTCATCCATTCATGGCCTAGGATCCCGAACAAGTGTTGCGGGTTTGAGTCCTGATGCCTTGTAGAAGGGCATTAAATCTCTCGTAGTTCCTCTTGATGACGTCACTTGACCGACGTGTTGCTTTCTGGTGTGACGTTAATAGAACTCCCTTTAGAGTCACAAGTCTTTTTTTTTCAATTTCTACACACTCTCCCGATATATATATTTACATATCATGTTCAAATTTTCAATCGTTAATAAAATACTTTCTATTCATCCATTCAAGTTCATTTTTTAAAACTTGTAGTGGATGACACTTGGTATTAATACAGTTTTTCAAATATTAATTCATTAATTAATGAATAATTAGTAACAAACAAAAATAACAAGTCTCACACCCCCTATATAAAAAGGAAAATCGCTCGTTGTGTCCCCGTAGTGCAAAGGATAGCGCTTTGGACTTCTAATGCAAGGATCGTGGGTTCGAATCCCAACTGGGAGAATCTAACCTAATTTCTGAGAATGTCATTTCTTTTTCCTGTGCTATTTTATTGAAATAATTAAATTTAATTAATAAATAGTAACAAAAATAATAGTCCAACACCATACATAGAAAGGAAAATGGATAAAATCGCTTTCTATTTTGCAACTAAATATTGTGATTTTGTTATATGTATACACCTATCTATATTAATTGTAATTATTTGATTAAAAGTAACTAAAATAAAATAATTTTTTTGATCTAATTAGGAATTGACTCAAAAAATTTTTTTTTTCGTATTACTTGTTCACAAATTCATCCCAATTGATCCAAATGCATATTAATGTAGAAAGAAACTACTGTGAGGTATAAAAATTTCGTTTCGTCCTGGAAAAATCCAAATTTCTTGCTCTTAAAGAGATAATCAAATTTTAATTTTCGGCTTTCAAAATTGGAGGGAAATTCAGCAGACCGAGAATTTTGTACTAGAGTGAAAATAACATTTTAAAGAGAGTTCATCTGTGTTCACGTTGGCGTGGTCTGGAATTTCACTTCTGGGGAATGTACTAGATGTGGAAAGGTAGAAATACCAATACGCAGCCTCATTACAGAAAAAACAATTGGATGAGAAGAGTTCCTTTAGTAGGATATTCTATCAAAGTGTTCAAAGGGAGGAAAAAATGCTGACACACAAAAGAGTTAGTTCAAGTCGGGTTAGAAATGAGCCATTTTTTAAGTGATCCCTAACTAAGGAATCACTCCGAACAAAGTGATCGCAAAAATCCAATCAAGATTTCCTACAGGAATCTTGACTAGGATTTATATTTTTAATGACTTTGTGCATGGTAATGAATAACTTAGAATTGGAATGGTTTGAATTAATGTAATTTCAATTTCTTCAACTAATATTATAATTTGAGTCCATTCTAGCTTAATATGAATTTGAAAATATGGAACACCATATATATTGTATTTTAGCTGACTAGGATTTTTGAGAGATTTTGGACCCATCATTCCAACACATAAAATAATGAAATATGTTTTGATATTAATTAGGAATAAAATCAAAACTTTTAAGGCTTGGATGTTTTTGATTTTCAGTATTGTAGAAAATTTGCGTTACCGGGATTTCATTATACAATTTCATTAGTAATGAATAAATGACCCTTTTGTTTTTGAAGAATTCGATATGCATTTTCAAAATCATATTAAAAACACTGGAATTAATTTATTTTCTTTGGAATAAATATTTTGAAATTAAAAAATTTCTTAAAAAATATTTTGTTTTCATAATATTTAACTTTAATTTTTAAATACATTTTAGAATAAATAATAAAATCGATCTAAAAAGTAGAAAAAATATTTAATAAATAATACAATTTAAGTATAACAATTCAGTAAAAATAAGAACTAGACGGACCGTTAAAAGTTAGGAAAATATTTTTTAAGCTAATATGTGTTTCAATAGAGCAAAGCATAAATGAAATAGTTAGGTAATTGGTATAAAGACAGAGTCAAATGAACTAGTCAGCAAAATTTTTTTAATGAAATGTTTGAATACATCCATTACGATTATCGAAATACACTCGGGGCAACTACGAAAATATCTGTCTGTCAGAGATCTCCAAGAATGGTGTATCTTTTACAGAGAAGGGGAAGACTAAGAAAAGAATGCGTAAGTGCTGGGGGGTGAACAAAAAATCTCAAGATAATTGATCTTTTGGGAATTGATAAAATTAATTTTAACTTCTCATTGGCGTGACATCCCTTGTGGGACAAGGCCTACTGTGCCCAACTCAGAATACACGACCTTGGGCCCTGAGGTGCATGAGCAGATGTTCCGGTCAGGTGGTCAGTCTGACGCGCTGTGCACGACTCACAATCTCAAAATCCTAGGCACAAACCGGATCAACCAATAACCGCATTTCGAATAAATGAGTTGAATTATTGCTTATGGCATTAGGCCTAGACCTAGATATGGATAACGGGCATCACATCATAATAGTCTTATTACCACTTTTGCCAGTTGACATGCAATTTGAGATTCCATTTTTTCGGAGAATATGTTCGGGAATAACATTTGACTATTAAAATTATCCGAATCGTGATCTTATTAAGACAAAGTCGAGAATGAAATAAGTTCTTAGGATCAAGTTCTTATTTCGCAGGAGGTTCAGATACATAGCCCGTCGACGCATTTCCTGACGGCCTTCATTTCGCTCCTTTTTGTGCCACGAAACACAGGTCCCGCAACGTAAGCCTTCCATCCGTCCCGTGAACTATTTTCCATATCGTCCCGTGAACTGGCGCTATTTTTGATGGCACACAGAGAAGGACATCCTCTGGCATAGCTTCCACAAACATAACGTACTTTATGACTGTTTTTGTCACACAATAAAGGATCAACAAGTACAGAAAATCAAGTACTGGTCATCGATTCCAATGTTTATGTTTAGTGCCTTTCCACATGTCCGATTTCATTCAATCTGTCCAGTACTTATAGAGATAATCAGTCCAAAATGAAAATTCTCTTTTCTCAATATGTTGAAAAATAGAAGGGTTGAAATATGTCCAATGTTATATGAAAAATGTTTCGTATTCAACGTGAAATAAATACTAAAATGTGAGCCTGACAGAACAGATGAGAAGATGTTAAAGTGTCAAAAGCAGGTTAAAGAAAATACCTTACATATGAGAATTTTTTTTTATAAATTTTTTAAAGTGTACACACATGCATTCGGCATGCTTACTTTATTAAGTTGCAACTTCTATATTTTCTAAACTAGTTACATTTTTAAAATTTAGAAGTGTAATAATTATACCATAATGATGATAAATACATTTTCATGAGTTGTGCACAGTAGAACACGGCTTTTGATCATTCTTTAATTTATGTTTTGATTTCCAGAATGGTACTGATAAGATTTGAGCATATTAGTACTACTTTTACTTAAGGTAGTAATTCTGTGTGACTGCCGAAATTTCGATGTTTTTTCGTGCATTTTTTTTTTAACAAAAAAAAAAAAAACTAAATGCGATCATTTTGTATAATTTTTACATGCTTTTAGTAGTTTTTTAAAGTGTACAAAAATGTTTTTTGACTTAATTTTACGTTATTTTGTTTATAATTTTTTATGTCAGTCCTCGAAAAAAAGGTGAGCTGTTTTGGGGAAGCACACAGCCTTCCGTAGTCATCTAAAATCAAAGAGATTATTGTTCTGTAGACTTTATTCTAAGGAACTTGTAATGGTCCCTAAGGACCTCACTTTGAGAACTAGAATAATTATGAGACGTAAATGAACCAGTAGCCATTTTTATAAATAACTTTCTTTATTTAGATATCTTTCCCAAATAGAATCAAAGACTTATTAACAACGACAAGGCGAATATTATGAGGTTTTAATTATAATAATCTTTAAATTAACTCAATTAATTAATAATCTAATTAATCAATTCATTAAATAACGATCACGCAGAAATTACCACGATAAGAGATCCCAGAATTATATTTAATAATGTTCTTAATGAACATTTAACTTTAATCTCACTCTTAAAACTTTAATGAAACTTTAAATACAATTTTATATTTACCACTCGGAATCTCAATTCTTCATGAGATAAATTTATCTTCAACTACAATATTTCAATTCAAAATCACTATAACTCTATGTTTCAATATCTATCTCCTACTGCTCTAACTTTACTATTTCGTTTGACTTAAATACTGAATCTAATCTGCATAATAAGGAATCCTGTCCGCTTTTTGGAGTTGATTGGAAATAGGTAGGGAATTAAATTTCCCTAAAAAGGTCGGTTCAGAAGGTTAGTGATAAAGTTCCGTATAGATTCGTCACAAACTAACCAATAATATGCATATTTTAAAAAAATGGCGGATCTGTGAAAATGAGTTCTTAAAATCTAAGTTTTTTCGTGGATTAATTGTTTAAAAATATTAATTTGTTATTAAAAAATTGACTGTTTTAAGGGTTAAGTATTCACCTATGTCTGTCTAGAATAATAGGTCAAAAATTTAGCCAAATCGGTTGAATAGTTTAGGGTCAGTGCTTCCCCGAAATTTCAAAAACATGGTTTCGAGAAAAACGCGTTAAAATTTTTTGGCAATACTTACATCCATCAACTATGCCTGCATAGAGAAATCTTTCCGTTCCCTCAAAGTTATCATTTTCAGCGGCTTTGAGAGTCCTGCGTAAGGTTCTGGTCTCTTTACAGTTGGCCCTGCAGTTTTCTCTGCCCTCAAAATTTGTGCATTGTCAACAGTGTCCCTAGCTGTTGACGCCCGTCACCTCTACAACTTTGAGTACAGGTAGAAAACCCTCATTAAAGATCAGTGGCGTAATCAGCGGGAGAAGAACTGAACTCTCATGATGGATTACAGTGAGAGTAGACCGCTTGGCGTAGCCATACGAGCCGCAACAGAACAAAGTGTGTTTTGCCATTTTCAAAAGTTTTTGCAGGCAAGTTTTCAAACATTTTTACAGATAACTTGAGCTTTAAAGTTAAGCATAATGTACACTTAAAGAATCGTAGTGAGTGAATATTAATGTCGCACTGTTCAGCTACACGAGGGCTTTTGGCGACGGACCACGCCATTTTGGACCATGGTCAAGTGATGTGGACGACACCTGAACTGGCTACCCCCTCTCCTAATAAACACAACACACCAACGGGAGGACGTTTCAGCTCTCGACAGATTTAGCGGGCATCGCTGCCCTACACGGCGGGTCTTTAGTGGTACTGGGCTCGAACTCGTGACAAAGCCAGCCACGATCCAATACCTATACCACTCGGCTACCGCGGCCACTTAAAGAATCGTAATTTGTAATAATGTGGTCGTTTTTTAGCTGTAACCATGTTTTGTGTCCTTCAGTTGAAATGTTCATTTTCCAAGATAACGCGTCGGGTATTTTGGGGGGAATCCATAGTATTCCATAATACCCGACGTAAAAGTAGAGTTTCTATAGGACTCGACAAAAACATACTAAATAAAAAATAAAGTTAAAG